AGCCTCCCAAAGCGCAGGATTACAGGCTGAGCCACCGAGCCCGGCTAAAACTCTTATTTTCTATAACTTCCTTTTTATTAAAAGGATGACTTTCAGGTAGAGAAGGTTTGGGCTTATATAAGGACTTAAATATTCCACTTGTCATTTAGCACCAGGAAAACTAGTAATTTTTATAATGGAAAGATGATCTTCCTTTGCTAACCAGTTATAATCCAAGCTTAAAGTTTTTCTGATAAAACTAACAATAATGATAATAGTCATGTATCACTGAAGTTGGTCCTCTTGGGCCCATCTTTGTGAACAAGATGCATGAATACCAGCTTGAGGGATGGGAAGAGACTCGTAGTGACTTGTTCCTAGGTAGGAATGATGAAAATGCAAAACCAGATTCCAGGTGCGGCCTTTTGAAAGACCTTTATTTTTCCAGAACAGTATCTTCCAAATCCCAGGCTGTGGGCCAGTCACTGTTTGCCCAAAATCAAGTTCTCACCAGTGTGAGGTGCTATGTGGAAAATAACAGCAATGTGTCTAAATTCATTAAACCTAAAGGACTTCCCTTTATTCTCAAATGTTGTCCTTCCTATTTCTTTGATTCTTCAAATGCCCTTACATCTATTAAAGGAAGGTACCAACACACAGTAGCTGTTCTCTAACATTTTTACTTAGCTCAATTAACATTTAACACATACCTACATCAGTCCTCTCACCCCTACCTTACATCTTTTTCCTCATCCAAGAAATCTAGATGTCTGGGCCAGGCGCAGTGGCTCATCCTGTAATTCCAGCACTTTGGGAGGCTGAGACGAGAGGATTTCCTGAGCCCGGGGGTTTGAGACCAGCCTGGGAAACTTGGAGAGACCTCGTCTCTATGATAAATCACAAAAAATTAGCCAGGCACAGTGGCATGCATGTGTCTGTAGTTCCAGCTACTTGGAAGGCTGAGGTGGAAGGATCACCAGAGCCCAGCAGGTTGAGGCTGTGGTGGCTGTGAGCATGCTACTGCTCTCCAGCTTGGGCAACTGAGTGAGACTCCAACTCAAAAAAAAAAAAGAAATGACATCTAGATGTCTGAAAACTATTGCTAATCTATAGGATAGACTCTGCTACCCAGAACCCTGGAATTTCCAAAGTTTCTGGCATTTTTTTTTTTTTTGAGTTGGAGTCTCACTCTGTCACCCAGGCTGGAGTGCAGTGGCACACTCACGGCCACTGCAACCTCGACCTGCTGGGCTCAGGCGATCCTTCCACCTCAGCCTTCCAAGTAGCTGGAACTACAGATGCACGCCACCATGCCCGGCTACTTTTTGTGGTTTATCATAGAGATGAGGTCTCACCAAGTTGTCCACGCTGGTCTTGAACTCCCGGGCTCAGTCAATCCTCTCGCCTCGCCTCCCAAAGTGCTGGGATTGCAGACTGAGCCACTGCACCCAGTCAGTTCCTGGCCTTTTTTTATGTGACTTTTTTTTAAAAAGATGTGGGGTACAATTCAGAATTAGGTATACAAGTTGTAACATTTTGTCAAGTGAATATCTTTCAATGAAATGCATACCTTTAACTTCAGTTTTGAACATGTTGAATATAACCTTTTCTTGATAACTCTATTATTATCAACATTCAGTGGTACTGGGTTAGAATATGGTGAATCTTCCGGAGGACACCTATTATGGCCCACTTTGCCAGGACCAGAATAGCCCCAGACTACCATTCTTTTGGGACCATCATTTCTGTCCCCTTAAAAAAGGAAAAGAGAGAACCTGCTTTGGCCCCTTTTGTTGTCAAGTATGCATGAGCCCCTTTGAAACAGCCTGGGACGTGGTTTTTCTCATGTGCTGTCTGCACTCTGATTGGGCTTGGAAAGTGGATGACCTTTGGTGTCACAACTGTGTGCAAAGTAAAAGTTTCAAAAAGACTGAGTGGTGGGGAGGAAAGCCTAAGTGAGCACTGGAAAGGGTCATGCTGTACCCCATCTGCACCCACTGTAGACACAGGGGTTACATGCGTAGACTTTAGGCACACAGAGCTGTATTAGAACCCTGGGCAAGTTATATATTCATCTGTAAAATGGAAGTTGTAAAAATATGAAAACCAGTTAGGGGTGTGAGGGCTAAACAAAGTAACACACGTAAAGTGCTTAGTGCAGTGCCTGGCCCACAAAAGTCCCTCTGTGAAATACATGTCAACTACAATGGTCACCTGATGACCTCATACATTTTCTTGGCTCACTGTCTGGTACTTTTCTGTTGTGTTCTAGATAGGTGAGCTTACCAAATCACTGACTTACAGACCTATGGGTGTTACTGCATTTAGATTTTGTCCATTTGTTCATTCATCCATTTATTCATTCATTTGGGTAGGGAGGGAACACTGCATAGAGCATCCTGTACTGAAGGTTGTGGGCAGGGTTTGGAAAACACAAAGAGCATCATCTGTGCTCCAGGGAACTCACAGTCTATTTGAGGAGACCCAGCCAACACACTGATGAGCTGGAACAACATTATAC